AAGCAAAATAATTATATAATTGGCTAGCAAACAATCACCTCCTTTAAACTGAGCTTCTTCATACTTCATTCTTAGGCTCATAGAGAATTTTGATAGGCTCACCATAGATGTAATTAAGATTCTCTTTGTTAAGATTATTTTTGTGGTAATCACTCCTTATGTAAATCTAATGATGCATGCATGAAAATAAAATAGAGAAAAAATGTTAGTTGACATAATATAATATATACATACAATACATACAAGGAACAATATAAAAGGTTAGTATGCAAGGAATAAATTTACAAGAATAGTAATTGTGCCATCATGTGTCTTATTTATGATTTTCTGGCAAAAGGAAACCAAGGCACTAGCCTAGGATTGGATTCTTAGGATTCATGTACATATTGGGTTCAAAAGCTTGATAATGTAAAGGCTCCCAAATTGTTTCCTATATCATCATCCATTATAGACTAGTAGGGCACTCCTAATCCTTGCCCACCATTATAGACTCAAACAGAAACAGTTCAATTTGAGTGAAAATTTTTACTAGCTCACACAAAAGTTATCATCTCATGAGAGTGTAGGTACTTGCTCCCTCGTAATAAAAGATAAAAACCAGGTGTAGAGCTTATGCATAAATGCAAGTGTGGTGTATGTAAAGGAACATGCCAAGTAATCAAATAAATAAGTGTAAATAAAAAATAATATCTACAAAACAAACAAATAAGAAGTCACAAATAAATAGGTTAGTCTACATAAATAATTACATAATAAAAACTATTAAAGTAAGGCTGAAGATAACATATAACTAACTAATAATTTGACTCTTTAATATCCACAGTGAAGTCACCAAACTGTCATAACATCCAAGTTGGAAGAACTTACCAATTAGACACAAAAATCATGAAGTCACCACTAATCTTTTTTAGTTAGGTGTGATTAGTCACCTATATGAGTCTATCCTTTTTAAGGTTATCCTAAGCTTAAGCTAAGAGGCCCTAAAAAGAATAGGTTCTGGTTTACATCAACAGAACTAAGGTTCGAGAGTTAATTACATGTAAGGAAGGTATTAGCACCCATTTACGACCAAAATTGATACGAAGTTAATTATGTGTTATCTTATCTAAGCCTTATCAAAGATAGTTTTATCATGCAAATCAAAATCATAACATGGTGATGCAAAATTTTTATCAAAATATCAAGCAATCATGCAATAAATATTAAATCATACCATGCAAAAATTATCATACAAATATAATACTATAAATCATACCAAATATTATGTAATAATATCATACCTTGATCTGCTAAAATATTCATGCAAGAATGTCATGCAAATATACTAATTATCATGCAATAATAACAATCATATAAATATATAATATCATACAAATATATTATCATACAATAATATAAAATACCATGCAAATATATTAATAACCATTCATGCAAGTATATAATCATGAAATTAGATATAATCACATAAATATATTAGTAATGATGTATAATCATGCAATTATGCACAAAATAAATATAAAAACATGCAATTAGATATCATTCAACATTAATAAAATATCATATCATGCAATAAATATAAAATCATGCAATAATACTAATGAATGAATAAATAACTATGAAAATAGATATTAATAATCATACAATCACACAAATAAATAATTAATAATCATGCAAATAAATATATAATCATGCAATTAACAATGTAAATCATGCAAATAAACATGCAATTAAATTTATAAATCATGCAAATAAATATATAAACCTTACAAATAAATATGCAATTAAATATATAATCATGCAAATAGTAATATATAAACTGTGCAAATAAACATGCAATTAAATATATAATCATGCAAATAATAATATATAAATCATGCAATCATGTAAATAATAATATATAAACCATGCGAAATATGTAATTAAATATATAATCATACAAATAATAATATATAAATAATCATGCAAATATAATATTAGTCATGCAAATTCATGAAAAAAATAAATATCGTGTAATAAATATAAAAACAAAAATAGGCAATTAAATATTATAAAAGTTATGCAAAAATCACAAAAATAAAAGGAAGTAAATATTACCTCAATGGATCATGAGTTCCAACAATCTTTCACTTTTCACAAATTGATGTTTCTACCATAAATCTAAGCTTTCCTTCCAAAAACTTCAACCGGATGTTCGTGCAATTTTTTTTTTGCTTGATTGTTTCTTCCTTGTTAATTCAAAATTTTATTTTGCCCAAATTTTTTCTCTTTTAAATGACCTCCTATTTATCTTAAAGTGAATTGCTCTCAAGCTTCCTCTTTTGATCTTAGATTCAAGGTGCTTATATAGAGGTTGAATCCTTTTCAATTTGAAAGAATTAATTCAACCAAATCTAGGATTTCTCTCTAAATTTTATTCTTTGTGTAATCTTTTATTTTTCAATAGATTGAGCTCAAAGTCTTTCCAAAATTATTCAACCATTAAAATTAAAATCTGAGATAGAATCTAAGAGTTGAATCAAATCCAAGATTTTTCATGCAAAATCCCACATTTTTCTTTTTATTTTTATTTTTTTATTGTTTATACCAATTAACTTTGACTCTTTTCAATAAAAAACTAAAAATTAAACCAAAAATTAAACTAAAAAATTAAAATACAAAGAAAATTTAGGACTTAATCTTTGGGCCTAAAATTCACTTTTTCAATTAAGGCCCAAATACACAATCAAAATTAAAAATTGAAACTCAATGAATTTCAAAAAATTTTCAGACAAAATAAGGTGTCTATAAGTTAAATAAAAGTTTAGAGTATTTCAACTCGTCCTAATATATATAAATATATGTTTTATTATTCATTTAATTTTATGTTTATAATTTATAAATATGTATTGTATTAACAGAATTGTTATTTTAGACCTTAATTTAATGAATCCAAGGGCGATCTCTATTTAGTTTTCTTTTTTTTTCTGTCATTTTCTTGGTTTTTTTTTAAAAAAATTTAAATTAAATAAGTTTTGTATGAAAAAAATAATAATGGATGTAGGTATGACAAAAACCCATATTTCAAGAATTTTTATTCGATTTAATCTAATATATGTCTATTTTTTTAAAATTTGAGATCAAATCAAGTTTGTTTGTTTTAAAAATCGGGATCGAGCTCGATGTGATTTAATGACTTTCGTGTTGCCCTGGGTATATATATAATTATATTTTTAATTAATTATTTTATATTTATATATTATTATATTAATAAAGTTATTATTTAATATCTTAATTTAATAAAAATTCTATATTTATACATAATTAAGATTTAATCCATCCATCCATTCATCTTTCAATTATATAAATTTTACTCATTTTTACTTTTGTTTGATCTTCCGTTAAAATATCAACATGACACCTTTTTTTTTTTCACTTTTTTATTTTTTTATCAATTCTTTGTTTTCAATTTAGATAAATTTGTTAAAAAAATCCCAACAAAAATGTCAACGCATCACTCCAAAATGAGTTTTCATGATTAAGGCTTAAGTATAAATTTGGGCTGGCTCAAATGGCTTTTGAATGGAAGGTTATAAAGTTTATTGGGTATATTTTAAGTGTACAAAATAATTTTAAAGTTTATTGGTTTCGAATTAAATTTTTTTTTTCCTTTTTTTAAGGGTTATACCCATCATATGTATTAAAAAAAAATGAGTTAGGCGAATTTACCATATGTCAAACACAATTAATTCTTTTTATAAAAAAATAATAGTGATGACCCGATAATAATTATTTCAGAGCATATACATCCAAAGAAGAAAAGAACCCTATGAGACCGTATAGATTTTGGAAAAATATATTCGTTCATCTATTTTGTAAAGAAATTTTAATTTTTTTATAATATCAATATACCGCGATTAATTCTTCAAAAAGTTGAGAAGTTAATGTAATATTTCTTTCATCCTAATTTCTTCGGCCATTATTTGTTTTCAGAACACCACAAAATTATATCTTGTTTTGAATGGAATTTATATTATACTTTTTCTATATTTCAAATTTATTTTTCATATTTTATATTTTGGCATTAAAATCTTAAAATATTATTTTATAAAAATATTACATATATGTATATATATATATATATATAGAGGATTTGAATTTATATTTGATGCACTATCTGTATATAAATTTTATACACAATTAATGAATAGGATGATATCATTTCATTAATGAAATAAATCAGATAATACTGTTGCATTAATGAGTAAGTATTTTAGAAATATTAATTTTTGTATATTTATTTTAAGAGTTGATATTTGCTCATTAATGAGATGATGTCATCTGATTTACTAATAATATATAGAATCTATACACTGACAGTGTATCAAATATAAACTCTTATTTATATATCAATTAAGATTCGATTTATGTCAAAAATATTCTTAACTTAAAATTTTGAATACATTAAATTGATTTGGAAAGTGTACTCTTAAAATTATTTTTGAATAAAAAGAACACGCTTATTAAAATTTAATTAAGGACACTCCAGACCTATTTCCAAATAAAAAAAAATCTTTAAGATAAAATTTGAGATTTGTAAAATTTTAACTAGATATACTTTAAAAAAGATTAGAATTAAAGTATGTTAAAAGTGATTGGGATTTGAGGAAAAAAATGAAACTTTTTTTTCTTTGCTTGAAGTGAACAAACCTGCAATAAGGCAAAGGGTAGAGGAATATTGAATCTGATGTGGAATATTATATATAAATAGAAGGTATGTTTGTGAACATATATATGATCACACATATATATGATCACAAAAATAGAAGCACAACATACATATTCACTTGATACACCAAAGATAAGAAAATATACAGAGAGAGATTAGGCATTCCACACACTTAAAAGCTCAAGACATCAACAGATGATATATATCTCACACTGTTTATTTATTCTTACACATATCAAACGCAGATTTCAATCTTGATCATGGATCCTGGCTTAGTTATTTAGTTTCCTTGGATGAGGTGGGAATCGACATCTTTGGAGACTTGGACTGCGAGCTCCAGAAGAGTCTCTAGATGTGCAATACCCTCGTGCAGCTTTTCGTACTCCATAGTCCAGTGTGCTATACTGCCCTGACCGTTGCTCTTTGGGGAAACTTGAAGTTTGATTAGGAAGTTCTTGTACTCCTTTAAAAGGTCTCCTTCAATCGCTCTGAGACAGAGTGAGTTGTTCTTTGGATCAACCGATTCAACTATCTCTTTTAAAACTTTAGCCTCCCATCTGTAATTATTTATGTTCATATATATATGGAACAAAACTTTACTCTTAATTCAACTAGAAAATTAATCATCTTTCCCTCAATTTTTAAAGGAAAAAATGAAAAAATAAAAAAAAGGAAATTCGAATCTTACCATGAACGTAATTCCAGCAGATGATGGAACCCTCCTTCCCCCAGTCACCCTCATGTAAAGAACATGCTTGTACCTTATCGGAGCTAGCATTGGATATACGGTGAGGTCTGTTGCAGAACATATCATGAAACTTCTCGGCAGAAGCTTTAAGCTCTACATCGGTCTCAACCTTACCAATTAGAGACGACATTTCTCACAATTTTTTCTCGATATAGTCTAGAATTAGTTATCAGCTATTAAATGGAAGTGATGTATTATATCATAGCTTGCAGTGTCTTCTGCCCTTTTATGGACATTTGTGTTGGGCTTGGTTTCCTTTATGGAGAGGTGGCCTAAACTAAAGCCCATTCATCAAGGATTCCTTAATCCTTTCATGCTTAGTTATAGGGTGTCATAACGTCTAGATTAGTATATTTATCGCTAGACATTGACTTGAAGAGTCATCACTAATCTTTTTTATTTAGGTACGATTGGCCATCTAACTGAATCTGTCTATTTAAAAAAAAAATCCTAAGTTTGACTTAAGTATCTTTAAAAGGTAGATTCAATGTTTACGAAATCAAAACTAGGTCCAAGAGTACGGTTATGTGTGAGAAAAGTTATAGCACTCCCACAGCGCCCATCAAATAATGATACCAGCTCGATTTTGTATTATCCATTAAGCCTTAAAACTTTATCAAATAATTAATTATTAAAAATTATTCTTAATTGACTCAATACTTTTGATAAAAATTAAAAAAATTACCATCATCTTAAGAGTGTAAAAAAACTATTATTTTCTTTACAGAGGCTCTGTCGTCATATTATTTGACATTTAAAAAAATAAAAAAGGAAAAGAAAAAGGAATAATGCTTTAACTTTTGATAGAGATATCTTTTTTATTATGTTGTTTTATAAAAAAGCTCATGCTTTTATATAAGAAAAATTGATAATTTCAATTTTTCCTAAAAAAACGTTGTTCTGAAATTGGATTATCAAGGAAAATTGATACTTTCAACTTTTCTTCAAATATATTTTTTTGAAAATTTTATTTCTAAGGGAAATTGATATTCAACTTTTCTCAAAAATATTTTTTTGAAGTTTTTATTTCTAAGGAAAATTGATACTTTCAACTTTTCCTCAAAAATATCTTTTTGAAATATTTATTTTCAAGGAAAATTGATACAAAAAATTTATACTTTTAACTTTTCCTCAAAAATACCCTTTTTAAAATTTTTATTTTTAAGAAAAATTGATATTTTTATTTTTTTAATATCTTTTTTAAAATATTTTTTTTATTTATTTATTTTTTATTCATTCATAAAAAATAATTGATAAATAATGAGTAAACTAACAAAATTAGAAAAAGAATACCTCAAAGCAATTCATGGCTCGACTCTTAAAACTTGCCACGGCTCGGCTTATAGCTCAAATGGCATAGAATTAGACTGGGATAAGGATCGATTCAAGCGATTGGGTAGAATCACCCAGTTTTTGACGCGTAGATCCTTAAAACGAGTCAAAGGGAACCCACTTTCTTTAGCTAAAATGGCACCGTTTTATCAAAGCTATAAAGGCCTTCTTTAAGCTTTCCCCTTAATTTTACAAGTTTTTCTTCTCTCTCTACGTTTTTTGCTCTGCCTTTTTCTCTAAGAAAGCACGGACATTGGTTAGAAACTCCACAAGATTTCGGCAAAATGCCACAATTGCCGTCGTCTCTGATCGTCATCGACCACTTATGGACGAACGTTCAATCACTGGTTTGCTTTGAAACTTGTCGTGAGATTCTTCTCAGTCTCGTCATCTCGGATCTTGGTATAGATTTTTCAGAAAACCTGGTTGCTTCACCTGAATTGCCTAGGAAGGTGGTGGATCTGAACTCAATGTCCTTGTTACGCCGGTCACCACCACCCCTAAGTTATATTCTCCCTTTTATTTTTGGATTTTTCCTCACCTGATTTGGAGACACAAAACTTTTAGGATAAAATGCAAACGAAACCCCAAAAATTTTCCTCTTTGTTTCTGACCTTGCTTTGTTGTTTTCTTTGTCTTGTTAGTATTCCTTGTCGAAGGTGAATGACCTGTTGGCGAAAAATAAGCGATGAAGCTCAGTTTCTTTTGGGTTTCTAGGTTGTGGGGCAATTACTGTCAGGTTAGTGAATTCCCTGATTTATTAGTTGAGGTTGAATTTAGGACCATGGTTGGGTGTGTCGTGCGCTGTCTGGGTTCTGTTATGGCTGATTTGCAAGTAGCGAAGTGATTTTGCCCAGCTTTTAATTTTGTGTTCCCTTGAGTTTTCTACGTTCCTGATGTGTGTTCTGAATTCTTGCAAGGTATTTGGTGGATTACTGGTAGAGCCCAACCAAATGGGTGGTGGCCTTAGATCGATCGACGGTGACAGTGTCACATGAAAAGTGGTTTTCAATTTGGCAATGGTGTTAACTTTCGAGTGTTTGCTAGTGATCTCAAGTGGAGGTTTTTGTCGCTAGGCAAAAAATTAGGTGTCCAAAACTTGTATCTGGGGCTAAAATTAGACTGATTTTGGATTCTGTTTGGGACTTGGTTTTAGGGTCGGTATTATGGGTGTTGGTGGTGATGGCTGATAACTATGGGTGTTAGCAGGGGTGAATTGGTGAAGACAGTGATCAAGAATTATGGTGACTTGATCACTTGCCCAATCTTTCTACGTAATTACTCTCTCAACTAATTAACCACAAAAATATCTTCCTCTAGAATGGAAAAACCAGTTTTATAGCACTTTGCAGCAAACAGAGCAAAAGAAACTCAGGATGTAAAGTAGTCAAATGTTCAGTAGATGACTGAAGCTTCCGAATAGCGGTCAGCAATGGAACTATCGCACGCAAGGGCTCCTTAAGCAACAGCACTTGGTCTTTGAACCTCTTACAAACATATGTAAACTTATCAAGCACCAATCAAATTTGCTCAGCAACATATAAATTGATAAATCTCGAAATGACTAACATAAATGAACTAGCTTGCTCTTTTGTAATTGGGCCAGTAGTGCCTACCCCCCAAAGTAGTCTGCCAATGGATTAAATAATGATGTTGGAGATAGGATCTCCATTTAAACTGAGCTTCAATCTGGATTTTAATTTCAAAATGCAATTGAATTTTAAACATTTAATCACCAAAATTTATCACTTATTTTATCTTTTCTATTTTTTTAAAATTTATTTTATCCTTTTATTTATCTTCAGGGTGTCTACATAGGGTTTTAAACCTTACATGGCTGAAAAAAAAACAAGAATGATATGACAAAAAAAGAGATTTTGTGTAGTTTCGATTAAGTAGTTTGATCGAGATTAATTCGTTATTTGATTGAGCTAAAGTTTTATTAGTGTGTTCACTTCATTATTTTTGTTTTAAAAAAAATCCCAATAGTATGGAATAAAGAATATTCCATAGGGTAGATATGCATGGAAACTAAGATTGTTTCAGAGACTTGAGATTAATGTTTATTTATAATATTTTGTACTCTTTGTAATCTCGACGTTTATAGTGAATTTTCTCTCATTCGTGGTTATAAGTAATTAGGCCAAACTACGTTAAATATTGCTTCTTGCATGTGATTTATTTTATGTTGATCTCATTGTGGAATTTGTTTATGCTTAAAACAAAATCCCAACAATTTGTGCTGTCTGAGTAAGCTCTCTTCCGCAGTCAGTATTCTACATTTCACAACTTTATATTTCTTAGCCAACAGTTGTCTACCATGTAACAATACAAGGTTTACTCTATATTTAGAATTTATTTTTTTGGAGCAATTGGTTTATGGATTCTTGGATTTCGAGAAAAAAAGTGATATTAAAAAGGAATGTATGATTCTGAGTTCTTATTAACTTAGGGAATGTAAAATTTTTGTATATGATTCACAAAAATGTAAAATCACTTAAAGTTTTTTTATTTTATTATCTATAATAACACATAATATTAATAATACTAATATGTGAATAACATGTGACACGTTAATAATATGTTGTCTTCATTAAAACTAAATAATTTTGAAAAATATTTTTTTATATTTTCAACAAATATAATTATACAATTTTAACTACTATCCTAACAATGATTGGCCTTATGTAGAGAAAATATACGAATTGACCTTTATGGTAAGGTTGACGTGAGAGTTGAAAAGGGATGGTAAACCCCCCTATCGAGGATTTTTTGGAGGAAGCCCTCAAAACAAATTTTATATATAATAATATTAGGTAAATATATTTTAGATTTCATATGTAATAATATTAAGCAAAGATATTTTACTTTTTATTTTTTTATATTTTTAACATAGACTGAGTTTTTCTCTATTAAAAAGTTGTCTTTTTGACAAAAATTACGTTTTTATCTTATAAACGTTATCTTCATTGAATTTTGAAAAATATATTTTTTGTATTTTCAACAAAAATTACGTTTTTATCTTAGAAACATCTTCTTTAAATTCTGAAAAATATTTTTTTTCATGTTTTTTAACAAAGATTGCATTTTTATCTTAGAAATATTATATTTTCAATAAAAACTATGTTTTTTTATCTTAGAAACACTATTTTTCTTGAATTCTAAAAATTATTTTTTTTCATGTTTTAACAAAAACTACATTTTTATCTTAGAAATCTCATCTTTGTTGAATTCTAAAAAATATTTTTTCATGTTTTCAACAAAAACTACATTTTTATCTTAGAAATGTAGTCTTTTCATAAAAAACTATATTTTTTATGTTAAAAACGTTGTTTTTGTTTAATTTTGGAAAACATTTGTTTATGTTTTCAATAAAAAAACACATAGAAATGTATTCTTTATTAAATTTTGAAAAACATTTTTTTATATTTTTAACAAAAACTATGTTTTTATCTTAAAAACGTTCTTAAATTCTATAGATTCTTAAATTTTAAATATAAAGTAAAGGTCACTTTCTCCCTAAATCATTTTCCATCCCTTAATTACTATGTTTTATCAATTACTACATTTTTATACTAAGAAACATTGTTGATATTGAAAATATCAAAATTTTTTTGTTATTATTTTTTACAATCAACTATGTTTCATATATTAAAATTGTAGTGCTTTTGAAACTATAAAAAATTCAAAATTAAAATTTTTCAACAATCTACTATGTTTTTCTTTTTAAAACATTTTTATTTTAATTAATTTTTTCCATAATATAGTACATAATATGACTACATTTTTAATATAACAACATTGTGTAAATGAAATTTTTTATTTTATTTTATTTTATTTTATACAAGATTAACTACGTTTATAATTATGAAACATTGTTTTTCTAAAACGTCATCAGTTGAAAATAAATATTTAACTTTATAAAAATTCAATTGCACATGATCATTGCTAAGTGTCCAATCATATGGTTAGGAA